GGAGAGAACGCGTCTTCTCTGCCCGCAGTCCAGAGCCTGGACTGGGAAACCTTTGAGCAGTACTGTGCCTGGCAGCTCTTCCTGGCCCACAACATCCCCCTGGAGACCATCATCCCCATCCTGCAGCACCTCAAGTACAAGGGTGAGTGGGGCCGTGTGTGGGGAGCGTGGGGGCGGGGTACCCCAGTCCAGCTGAGGCCTCTAGGCTTCTGGATGAGCCCAGAGCCACTGCTCCGCTTCCCACCACAGGGCCGTGCGGGAGGGGTTGGGGGTGCAGGCTCCCCGTCACCCTCACCCTCCTGCTCTTAGCTGAGGCCTGCAGGCCCACTCTGAGCCAGGAGCTGGGGGTTTACAGGACCGGTGGGGAGGGGACCGTTCTTCCTGGAGGTGCACCTTCTCCTGAATGGCCTCTCCCTCCCCCACAGAGCACCCGGAGGCCCTGTCCTGCCTCCTGCTTCAGCTCCGGAGAGAGAAGTGAGTTCCAGTCCAACACACCAGGAGACAGCTGCCTGCCTGGCGGCTTCAGGCCTGCCCCTTTGGCCCCCGGCTTTTCCTATTGTGGACAGGGGCTTATTCCGCCCTCCCCCAAAGTGGTTTACAAATAGGCAGCTCCCCTGGGACCCGGGCTTCCTCTCGACTTGACCCCCCTGCCCACCAGGAGCTGCCCTGGGAGGTGGGGCCGGACATCCCTGCTTCCTGCTGCCGCAGCAGTTCTCATCCCGGTGGCTCCCGGCTCCTCCTCCCCTCCCCCACACTCCTGGGGCCATGGGGCTAATCCAAGAGGAGAAAGGGTCAGATCCCAGGGCTCAGGCACCACCCCCTCCCTGCCGGGGGCGGGGCGGGGCGGGGAGAGGAGGCGGCCCGCCCCTCCCACCGTCGCTGGTGCTTTTCCAGCCGCCACATAAACGGGGCAACAGCTGTGTCTCCTTTCCTTCCTACCTTCCTGCCTTCCACCTTTTCTCCCCTCTTGTCTGAGCTGCCAGACACGGTATGGTCCAGAGCGTCCTGAAGGAAGGGGGAGGTTCGGGGCCTCGCGGGCTGGGTCCTCCCAGCCCTTCCCTGTGCCAGGGTGGCCCACGGCCTTGCTGGGCAGCGCAGCGCTCAGGCACCACGTGCTGTCCTTTTGCCTCCCTGACCCACTTTGGGCAAAGTAGGGGAGATTTGGTGGCCTTCCCCTCACGCGCACGCACCTTCTAGCACAGAAACTATAAAGAATCTCACTTCTTGTCTCCTGGCTTCCGCAAAGGATGAAACCAGGCATTCCTGGGCGCGAAGAGAAGAGGGAGAGGGATGTGAGAGCAGGAAGCTACCGCGGGACCCCGTGGGGCAGGGGTGGGGCGGGCCGGGTTCGGGAAACAGCACCCGGGAGAGAGCCTGCGGCCCCTGTGCCCACGGCCCCTGCCACGCCCCCAGGCCCAGCGAGGAGATGGTGAAGATGGTGCTGAGCCGGCCCTGCCACCCCGACGACCAGTTCACCACCAGCATCCTGCGGCACTGGTGCATGCGGCACGACGAGCTGCTGGCCGAGCACATCAAGTCCCTTCTCATCAAGAACAACAGCCTCCCGCGCAAGAGGCAGAGGTGGGACGCTGGGCACCGGCAGGGCAGCCCCACCATCCACCGCCCGCCCGCCCTGCCTGGCTTTGGGCGACATCTAGTGGTCTGAGGCTCCTGGCATGCCGGACCACTGGCACTTGCCCTCTTCCCAGTGCCCTGTCCTGGCTCTCCTCCCTGGCCCACCTGCACCCCTCCCCGTAAGGGCTGCCTGACTTCAGGAGGGACCCGGGGGTGTGTAGGGGTGTCCTGCACTCGTGGAGCCCTCACCCCCGGTTTTGGTGACGCCCCACAGCCTGCGGAGCTCCAGCAGCAAGCTGGCCCAGCTGACCCTGGAGCAGATCCTGGAGCACCTGGACAACCTGCGCCTCAACCTGACCAACACCAAGCAGAACTGTAGGCCCGGCTGCCCCGGCCCCGCCCACCGCTAGAGCCTGGTGGGGACGCAGGAGCTGCCCCGTGGGCGCTGCATCAGCTCCCAGACACCTGACTGCTCTCCCTTCCTGCTCCCTCTAGTTTTCAGCCAGACCCCAATTCTCCAGGCCCTGCAGCACGTCCAGGCGAGCTGTGACGAAGCCCACAAGATGAAGTGAGGCTCCTTGAACTTGGCCTCTGGGAGGCGGTGGGAGAAGGTCTAGGGGAGGGGCCTGCCCGGACAGAAACGTAATGGGGTTCAATGCAGTGGAGACCCGGGCATGGGGCAAAGGACCGGGCATCAGAGGTGGGAGGCGCTTCCGCTGACAGCTCGGTCTCGGTCCGTCAGGTTCAGCGACCTCTTCTCCCTGGCCGAGGAATACGAGGACTCTTCCACCAAGCCACCGAAGAGCCGGCGGAAAGCAGCTCTTTCCAGCCCCCGGAGTCGGAAGAACGCCACACAGCCCCCCAATGCTGAGGAAGAGTCAGGTTCCAGCAGTGCCTCGGTGAGACCCCCGCCAGTGCACAGGGGGACAGGGAGCGTGGGGTGCGGGGGCAGTGGGGGCCGCGTTTGTCCAGGCTGGTGACCCCCTCTCCGTCTTCCAGGAGGAGGAAGACACAAAGCCGAAGCCGGCCAAGCGGAAACGGAAGGGGTCGTCCGCGGTGGGCTCCGACAGCGACTGAGGCTCCTGGTTGGACTGCCCCCCCCCCTCCTTGGTGAAGCAGAGGTTTCAGAGGGGCTGCGGAGCCAACGGGAAACACCCTCTCCCCATCCCCGAACTCACTCACGCGGTGAGACGCCTGATAAGCTGCTGTGCAGCCCCAGCCCCTCCTCCCCTGCGGGGCCTCCAGCCCCATTCCGCGGCGGCTGCTTGGCTTCCACGGAAGCCAGAGGCTGTGCGAGGCCCCCGCCCCCTCTCCCGCCTCCCAAAGATCTGTTTCAACCAAAAGGAGAAACGGCAGAGGGGCAGCTGGCCTGAGGTCCTGGGATGAGAGGACAGCCTTGCGCGCGTGGGTGTCCCTCCCGACTTCCCCTTCAGGTCTGGGTTCGCCCTGAACAGGCGTTTAAAGAAATGGGCATTGAATGGCTGGCGCCCGTTCCTCTCCCTGGGGCACACGCCAGTGCTCAGGAAAGAACCTGCGAGGGAGGCCTCAGCCCCACCTGGTGTGCCCTGGAGGCTGGTGTTGGTCTGAGGTTGGCACCTCGGGCTGAGTCCCAGCGAGTCCCAGACACGTTCCACAGACTGTTAAATGGTCCCACTTTTTTGGTTGTTGTCTTTTTCTTGGCAGAGATAATCGTGTTTTAAAAAGTTGTTTTTAAATGACAATAAAACAAGTCAGAACCTCTTTCGTGCCAGTTGCTGCCCCCACTTACCCTGTGCGCGCGTCTGAATTTCATGGGCACCCCCTGTGGCTTCACAACTTCCCCCTTTTCCCTTCCCACCCACCCCGCTTCTTGTCTGAATAATGGGAAGCTTGGCTTTGCGCACTGGCCACGCCAGCCAGGCGCTGACCTGTCCAGGCAGAAACTGATGCTGAGGTCTCTGTCCTTACGCATCTCTCAAGAAGCTAGAGGCTTCCACGGGCTAGTACTTAACCTCCGTTTGGCAAGGGCGTGTGCTTTCTAACTACCAGGGGACCAAGTGCCGGGGAGAAGGCCCCTCTTCCAGTCCGGACCAGGGCTTCTGTCCCCCTGTCCCCGTGCGGACTGGGGGTTGGGGGGCCAGCTGAGGACGCGTGAAGCTGGGCTGACTGCAGACAGCTCCTACTCAGCGAGCAGATTTGTCTCAATCCAGGATCTCCCTCCCTCAAACCTTCTGTGTCTTCCTTTGAAAGTAAACCGCTGGAGGCGGCCTTTCCTTCCTCTCTTCCCGTTTCCTCTGCCCCAATTAAAACCGGGATGGAAAGCATTTGGCCGGCCTGCCCCGTTACTGCACTCTTTCCAAAGGGAGGAGCCTCCGCGTGGCCCCTCCAGAAATCTGGCTGGCTGGGCCTCCACCTTTCCCCTACTTAGCTCTCGGGCCCCCACCCATCCGCTGGGGTTGCTGCTGCTGCAGCTGGCAGCTGGCGGGCGGGCATGAGTCTGGCTACCGTGCTGGGACTTGCAGCATCAAACGGGCAAGGGGCCGAGTTCTTGGTCTCTTGGGAGACAGCAGTGGCACCCTCCGGGCCCGGGTGCAAATGGGGTAGAGGAGGGGAGAGATGGACTTCGATCCAAACGTCCTGGCTCTCAGACCTGGACGCCAAAGTCCAGCCAAATGCCTACAACCGCCCTTGAGGTGAAGGAACCTAAAACGCGAGATGACCCCGGGATCGAGGGGGGGCAGGAGCACCGCCCAGGACCTGGTGGGGTGCGGGCGCGAGCAGTCGGGAGGGAGCGCGTCCAGGGCGGAGCGTAGGGGTGGGGAGGCCGGGAGGAGTGCGGGGCCGCCCCCAGCCCCGCCGCTCTGCTCCAGGGGGGAAGGGGCGTGTGCCAGCGCACGCGCGCTCCCGGGAAGGAGCAGTCTCAGATCCAGAACGAGCGGCCCCAGTTTTTCGGAAGCGAATATCAGGGCTGGCTGCGAGCGGCTGGAGCCAGACGGCGCCGGGTCGCGGAAGAGGGCACATGGCCGCGCTCCTGCTGCTGCCGCTGCTCCTGCTGCTGCCGCTGCTGCTGCACCTCTGGCCCCAGTGGCGCTGGCTCGCCGCCGACTTGGCCTTCACGGTGCGCGCCCTACGCTGCAAACGCACGCTCCGAGCGCGCGCCTTGGCCGCGGCCGCCGCCGACCCGCAGAGTCCCGAGGGGGGCTGCAGCTTGGCCTGGCGCCTCGCACAGCTGGCCCGCCAGCGGCCCGAGCACACCTTCCTCGTCCACGGCGCGCGGCGCTTCAGCTACGCCGAGGCCGAGCGCCAGAGCAACCGGGCGGCGCGCGCCTTCCTGCGCGCTCGGGGCTGGGACGGGGGCCCTGGTGGCGGCGGCGGTCCGGGTGGCGCCCGGGAGGGCGAGCGGGCTGCCGGAAGCGGCGCGGCGCGAGCCGAGTGGGAAGGGGATGGCGCGGCCCCTCTGGCACCCGGGGACACAGTGGCGCTGCTTCTCCCCGCCTGCCCGGAGTTCCTGTGGCTTTGGTTCGGGATGGCCAAGGCTGGCCTGCGCACGGCCTTTGTGCCCACCGCCCTGCGCCGGGGACCCCTGCTGCACTGCCTCCGCAGCTGCGGCGCGCGCGCGCTGGTGCTGGCTCCAGGTAAGGCCGGAGCGCCCGGGTGGGGCGGGGCCCGCAGGATAGGGGCGTGTCGGGAGGGGCAGACGGGGTGGGCACAGAACTCTCCCCGGGGTTCGCAAAGGGTGGGGATGTGTTTCTGGATTACCCAAGGACTGAGCTCGGTCTTTGGTGCCTCCAAGGATTCCCTGGGCTCCAGGTCCCAGGCCCGCGATGGGACGTCCCATACTCTTCACTCTCATCCAAGAGCAGCAGGGAGGGGGTCGGCGGAGCCGGGGAGGAGGGTTGGCGGTGCAAATAAGCTAAGGGGTGGGGAAGGCTTCTGGGTGGCGGCAGGCAGAGCCGTGGAGCTGGGCTTTCCCACCGCATCCAGAGTTCGTGGAGTCCCTGGAACCAGACCTGCCGGCCCTGAGAGCCATGGGGCTCCACCTGTGGGCCGCAGGCCCCGAAACGCATCCTGCTGGAATCAGCGATTTGCTGGCTGAGGTGTCTGCTGAAGTGGATGAACCTGTGCCTGGGTACCTGTCTGCCCCCAAGAGCGTAATGGACACGTGCCTGTACATCTTCACCTCGGGCACCACCGGTGAGGGCGGGACACCATGCTTATCTCCCAGAAACTCAGACAGAGGAAGGGCAGCGGCCTGGGATGGAAACTGGGTCCTGCTCAGCTCCTAGGCCACCCCTGCCAAACCCCCAGAGGGGATACTGATCCCCGCGGCCATATCCCCACTCAACAAGCCTCCCACCTCCTGGGGCTTCGCACGTCTCCAGGACAGCCTGGCCTCCCTTCTCAGCTTCAGCCTTGCCTCTGCCTCTTTCTGTGGGAAACCCAGCAGGTGCAGAGGGAGGCGGGGCTCGCAGCTGAGCCCCCTTTCCTGGTCTCCCCCGCCCCCAGGCCTCCCCAAGGCTGCTCGGATCAGTCACCTGAAGGTTCTGCAGTGCCAGGGGTTCTACCAGCTGTGTGGCGCCCGGCAGGAGGATGTCATCTACCTGGCCCTCCCACTCTACCATATGTCTGGCTCCCTGCTGGGCGTTGTGGGCTGCTTGGGCATCGGTCAGTCTCCCCCCACACCCCCCTTCAGTCCTCGGGCAGGGGTTCCTTCCAGCAAACTGTAAGCACCAGCTGGGGTGCTCACCTGGGCTGCTCCTGAGTCCTTCAGGTGGACACTCCAGGGCAAGGAGGAGGCAGGCCCTGCTCTCCAGGGCCTCCTGGTACAAGAGAGAAGCGTCACCTGCACAGGCCTGCAGACCGAGCAACTAAGGAGGCCACCGGATTCCCTGAACTCCCGCTCCAGGGGCGAGGGGAGGGGAGGGCTGGGAGTGTCCGCCCAGGAGGAGGCAAATGGAGGAGAGGATTAGGACTTGGGGTTGGGGACAAGGATGGACGGATTGGGGCTGGAGAGAGGAAGGGGGCTCTGACCTTTGAGGCGCAGGTGGGAAAGGAAGAGACCACCTTGGCCTGGCCCCTGAATGTGAGACTGTCACATGGCAGCTGCAGTGCAGTGAAGGCTGGAGTCCGAGAAGAAGGGGGTCAGGGCCACCTGCGGCCCTTAACCACACCTCTTTCCTTCTCCTCCCTCCTGGCTTCTGGCAGGGGCCACCGTGGTGCTGAAGTCCAAGTTCTCGGCTGGTCAGTTCTGGGAGGACTGCCAGCAGCACGGGGTGACAGTGTTCCAGTACATTGGGGAATTGTGCCGCTATCTTGTCAACCAGCCCCCGGTGCGTGGGCACCCACGCTGGGCTGAGCCACTGAGGTGGGGTGGGGTGCGGGGAGGTGACAGGCAACAAGGGGAAGAAAATGGCAGGGTGGGTTGGGGGCCAGGACAGTGGGACCCCTGGCGACTGGGGCATGAGGGAGGTCCCAGTGAAAAGTGTTTCCGGCAGCGGGAAACGGGAAGGCCTTCCCTTTGGGGAGCCAGCATCTGGATGTTGAAGGCCCTGCCCCTCTCTGCACTCCTCAGAACCAGGCAGAACGCGGGCACAAGGTCCGAATGGCGGTGGGCAGTGGGCTGCGTCCAGACACTTGGGAGCGTTTTGTGCGGCGCTTCGGGCCCCTGCAGGTGCTGGAGACGTACGGACTGACCGAGGGCAACGTGGCCACTTTCAACTACACAGGCCAGCGGGGCGCTGTGGGCCGGGCTTCCTGGCTCTACAAGGTGAGGGGCGGGGAGGAAACGAAACCCAACCCTGGGGAACCGAGTGGAAGGTGGGGCTGGCGGAAGGGGGCTCAGGCGACTGAAATGACCCAGGGCCTGGGCCTCCCTTCCCCAGCATGTCTTCCCCTTCTCTTTGATTCGCTATGATGTCACCACAGGGGAGCCGTTTCGGGATACCCGAGGGCACTGTGTGGCCACATCTCCAGGTCTGTGCTCGGGTGGGGTGGGCGGGGCAGTGAAGCTGGCCCTGGAGGGTTGGCATTGCAGAGTGGGGGCTCCAGGCGAGGCCACCCGTGACCCCAGTGACTCTGCCAGGTGAGCCAGGGCTGCTGGTGGCTCCCGTGAGCCAGCAGGCCCCGTTCCTGGGCTACGCTGGGGGGCCGGAGCTGGCCCAGGGGAAACTGCTCAAGGACGTCTTCCGGCCCGGGGATGTTTTCTTCAACACCGGGGACCTGTTGGTCTGCGACCACCAAGGCTTCCTTCGTTTCCATGACCGCACAGGAGACACCTTCAGGTACTTGCCCATACATTTCTGACTCCTTCCTGGGCATCTGACCTCCGTGACCCGAGCCCCCCAAACCTCAGCTCCCTCATCTCCGGCCCCAGCCCAGCTCCTCATCTAAGCTCTCGTCTCAAACCTGCTGCCCCCCCTGTGGCCCAGGCACCCTGACCGCATCCCTGACCCTACTCTGCCCACCCACGTCACGAGGCCCTGACTCCTGATTGCCTTCACATCTGCTCTCCGGCAGGTGGAAGGGGGAGAATGTGGCCACGACCGAGGTGGCGGAGGCCTTGGAGGCCCTGGATTTTCTCCAGGAGGTGAACGTCTATGGAGTCACCGTGCCAGGTGCCCAGGCAGGGGAGGCATGGGAGGGCGCCCGGCCCACCTCCCTGAAGTGGTATGACGGGCGCAGGGAACATGAGGCCTCGTGGTGGTCAGCCACTGCCACGGAGCCTTTCCCCACCCCCCACCCAGGACATGAAGGCAGGGCTG